GCCCAGGGAGGGGACGGAGTCACTGTCACTGGAAGCGTTCAAGAACTGTGTAGATGTGGCACTGAATGACATGGCAGCTCCAGGAGGGTTTATGTAGCCTGTTGCATAGTGTACACTCTTTTTCTCTCTCTCTGTACTTGAAAAATGAGCAGTATTCCTGGCTTTTCTGTGTGGTTTCTCAGCCACATGTTTGTTCAGTGTTTTTACCTTGGCTCGTGTGATTACAAAGGAAATAGTGCAATAGTCCCTCAAACTGAGGGAAAGGAGCAAATCAAAACACACATCAGTCTCCTTAGCGAGAATGCCAGCTACCTCAAGGCTGAGGAAAATGCAGTGTACATGATTTTACTGCTTGTGAAAGAGATGGGAAATGAAAAATATACCACCCTGTCATTGAAAAATGTGTACCTACAGAGTTGAAGCAATGACTGATGCTGTGCAGGTGGTTTTCCGCTTGCCAGGGAGAAGTGTAGTAGGGCCAAAGTCTTTTAATCTGTTGTAAATATAACCCAAGATTTACAGTTGGAATCAGACTTGAAAATGCAAATGGATTTTCAATTACAGAGTCTGCTCCATCATGATGGCTTTCATACAGAGCTTTGTCTGGACAGAACAACAGCTGTTCTGCCTGTGTTATTTCTTGCTTTATTTTATTTTTAGACTTCTCTTGTATGTAAAATGCCAGGAGATGGACGCAGACCAGGATACCTCGTGGTGATGTCTGCTAAATAAATAAAGTGCTCCCAGTAAGACTGGAGTGAAACTGTGTTTGAAGTGTTTTCTCCCTTATTTAACACTGCACAACATACAGAGAGTCAGTTTTAGTTAGTAAAAATTCTAATCAGGACTTTTGATCACCTTTCCACTCCTAATATAGCTAAGCTGGATAATAATGGGATGCAGAAGTCTGATCGCCTTTCAAATCAGCTTTTTGCTCAAAATCACCACCTGGTGACTATTGAAAGACTCCTGAGGGCTCTACATTCTGTCCCTTAAAATTAAAAATTGGGGAAAGCTGGTGATTACTCACTGACTGATCACTTGTTTAAAAATGCCACCCTTAACATTCCTACCTATGAAAATCACTTGCATATTTCTGCTTGAACTGTCCTTGATTTTCAAATTTAACAATCATCTGTTTTTCAAAACCAAATAATTTTGTTTCATTAATTCCTCTTTTTCAACATCTGCACATTTTTACTGCTGTTTATTGCTGTTATTAAAGACGCCTATTTGATTGTTCATAAAGTGCACCTGCTCACATGCAAACACCAATGAGAATTTAGTACTAAAATAGGAGTTCTGAGTCCAAATTCTGTTGCGGACCTATTTCCCAGCGCACACATTATTTTGTTGCTTGGAGACTGCTGTATATTCTTGCTTTAATCTTTCTTCCAAAGTCTAACTCTGTGCTTCTAATGCAGCTGGAAGACTAGAAAGTATTCTGTGTTTCCAAACTTGTGTAGGAGGGAAAGGATGTGCAGGAAAAAAAAAAAAAACCAACCACCAAACCAAAACCCCCAACCCAGCTCTCTGGAGACTTGGAGCCACCAGGAATTTTTGTTTGTGCTGGGAAAGTTGGACATGACTGCAGGCTCCAGCAGGCTTCCCTCACAAGTCAAGCGTGTGTTCTTTTCCCAGCCGAGAATGGGAGTTATGAGAACCATGACAATGGCCTCTTACATTATTTCTGAGAAGAGAGCTCTTCTGTGGTTGATCTTACTAGAAACCACGATGAGAAATTAGAGTTCATTTTACTCCTCAGCCATTCTCTACCTATTTCTCTTTTCTGTCTGTACTTTTTGCTTTCTCCTCTGCCCCTGTCTTCGGCTCTTCTCTCTTTAGCCTTAGAACACTGCAGGGCCGCCCGTGCCCCTCAGAAGGTTGACCAGTAATACAGCTGTATCTGCACTAAGTTTGCTTCTGTGAAGCATTTCTGTTGAAATGTCAGTTCAAGCTGTTCTCACAGGCATTAATCCAGGAACTTTATTTGCTTTCTGCAGTAGGATTACTGTGGTGCCAAACAATGTTTTGTCCAGTTTCCACCTCCAGACTTTTATTCTGACATTAGAAAAGTAGTGGACAAAAATACATTGCTACCATTCAGAAAAAAATAATTCATCATCTGTTTAATATGAATGTGGATAATGGAGCTGGAATTATGGAAATGTCATTTTTGCAATATGCCCAGACTTCTGAATGAGAGAGATTCCCAAACAGACGTCTTCCAAAGTCACATTTCAGACGTGCAGCTTCCACCAGCAGGACCTCTGGCAAGGCTGGCGAGAGCACGGCTGCAACTGGGGGAGTTTGGAAGCAATCCCCACTGCCCAGAAGCCTGTGGATGTCTGAGCTTTGGATTTGTGCCTCAGCAAGACAGATAGTCCAGAAAATCTTACCAAGAGAAATCGCAAGATAACTTCTTTACTAGCGAGGTGCTGGAATGGGCTGCCCAGAGAGGTTGTGGATGCCCCATCCCTGGAGGTGTTCAAGGCCAGGTTGGATGGATTCAAGTTGGACATTAGGAGACTTCTTCTCCAAGAGAGTGGTCAAGTTCTGGAATGGGTTGCCCAGGGAGGTGCTGGAGTCACTGTCCCTGTTGGTGTTCAAGAAATGTTTAGATGTTGTACCGGGGGACATGGTTAAGTGGGAAATGCTGGTGGTAAGTGGAAAGTTGGACTGGATGATCTTAGAGGTCTTTTCCCACCTTGGTGATTCTATGATTGAACCAGAATAAACATGCCAAAACTCAAACTGGCAGATGGATTTCTTTATAAAATGTGGCACTGCCTCATAAAAGCCCAAGCACCTCCTACCCTACTCTGGCAGAAAGCCATCCCCTATTCCAATTTTGTTGCTCTCTAGCAGTACTAAGAGCATGAAAGCTTTGACCATTCTGTGAGAGGCATGGCGTGTTCTCAGAGAGTCCCTTGTGGGGCTGGAACCAACGCCAGACTGTGTCACAGGGGCTCCTCAGTTGGTCAGAGGGATGTTTGTTCCCAGCCACTCCTCACTGCATCCAGGATGAATGGCTCCAGACTGACCACTACAATTGCATGGCAGTCCTTGGAGAGAAGCGATTTAAGCTAAGGGACAACAATGCTACAGAAACAAATTCGTCTAAACTGGACAAAATTGTTTTCACACTGGTTATTAAAAGAAGGTTCTTAATAGAGTTTTTGAAGAGCAGCCGGAAATATTAAAGGGGTAGAAAACCCTGATTAGTTTTAAAATAGAGCTTGTCATATTTTCTGGGTGTCTTATTCATACTGGGCTGCAGAAGTCTCAGCAGCCCTTTAACCTGCTTTCCCATGATCAAGGGGTCTCCTGGTAATTCAAGGTCATTTGTTAGCTCTTATTCCTGCAAGACAGCTCTCTGCTGGCTGATGCTGTTCTGCTGTGATCACACTGAGGTCTGCTTTCCAAATCCACACCACGTGCATGGTGATGTGGGGGAGACACCTCTCTAATTTAGCACTGAAAAGAACCCCTTCCTCTCAAACTGAGGTGTGTGAATGTGCTCTATGCCAATGTCAGTATTACTGGAGGAAATCACCTCTATAAATCACCTCCCTAACATGTGAAAATAGACATCCCAAACTGAGACATCAAAATGAATCATATGCTTGAAAATCTCCTCTTTCCCTCAGTCACGAAGTGGGGGTGGCAATACTTCCATACCTCTGGGAAGCCCTTTGGCTAAGCAAATCCTAACCACATGTAAAATATTCTCTAAGGAGAGCATTATTTGCCTGGTGATACCTATTGTTCTAGTATTTAAAAAGAAAAAAAAGAAAAAAAAACTCTACACAAATTTTGGAGCACTACACAGAGTTTATTTTGAAAAAGAAATCAAAGAATGTTTTTTTCAACTCTGAGCCAGATGGAGAGAAAAAACCAAACATATTCCATCTGAAGAAAGGAAACACATGAGAACTTTCAAAAATATTTTTGCCAAGTTTTTTTTTTTTTTTTTTTTTTTTTTTAAATTATTAAACAGCATGGAAAAAGTGAGGTGGAAATGGTGAATGAATAAATAGACTCTGGATTGAGGAAGGCCTGGTTTTTAGAGAACAAAGGTGTTTTCCATCAAGTGCATTGCTTTTCTGCCTATAGATATCCAAATTACTTTGAGTGAACATGAGTATGCACTGCAAACTGTATAGCTACCTCCTCATCCCAGGCCATGGGAGAACTAGGATTCTGTGAAGGCTCAGGGCTGACCCCATCATGTACTTTTAGTATGAAGAGCATGGTGGCCCTCTTTTTCAAAGGCACTATATGGAGAGTATGAGTTGCAACAGGAGAAGTTTGTTCTTGATACAAGAAGGAATTTTCTTGCAGTGAGAACCACCAGTCACTGGAACAGCCTCCCCAGGGATGTGGTGGAGTCCCCATCGCTAGAAGTATTCAAGACGCAGTTGGACAGGCAGCTAGATGACCTCACCTAGACCTCCATTCCCCACCAAAGGGCTGGATCTGGAGATCTTCAGGAGGTCTCTTCCCACCTGGGCTGTTCAGTGACCCAGGCTGGAGGCAGTGCCAGTGAAGACAGCTGTGTCCTTCTGCTTGTCCCTTACCATCACATTTGGGGTGAGCTGCTCCTGCATGGTAGCACACAAACTGCTCCTTCCAACCCAAGCCATTCTATGGTCCCATGGGCCAAGGTCAAGGCAATATTCATGCAGAGGCTTGTCTGAGGTGCTTTGCATTCTTCCATCAAGATGTTTTACCATCAGTTTTATTTTGTCTTGCACAGCTCCAGCCATTAAAACAAAGTTTCTAGCATTCAGTTCATTGCAGGAGCGATGAACTGCAATTAAGGGATAAGATAGCCACAGCCATGCTTGGAAGTAGGTTGGTGTAAGTGAAAAGGCTTTTGTAAAAATAATTTTCATCAATTTTATTCTCAATGTCTCCAAATGTTTCTGGCTGTTCGTAGACACTGATCTCCACATGTCTCTTGGTTACAAAAACATGCACAAGTAAACAACTACATCTCTGCTTAGTGCTTCCTTTATTGGAACAACTGCGAGTATTATTTATAGACATCACAGAGGATGAAAGTTAGAGATTTATAAACTCTAATTAGGTGAAGATGATTCAAAATAAATTAATTACATGACTCAGACATGGATTTAAGAAATCCAGCACTGATGTAAATCACAATGACTCTGCACCCTCTCTGCCTTCCTCTCCCCTCCCTGAGTGCTTGCCAGGGGATAGGAACTTGCCTTCAATTTGATATAAACCAAGAAAAAAAGAGTGACGGAAATGTAAACTCAGTATGCCAAGGTATACTACTTGTGCACAGGAAGGAAAGCCAAAACTCTAGCTGGGACAAAATAACTTCCAATCACTTAGAATTTTCCATACAACCTGTGCTGTCACTCAAACCATACAGAAAGCAGATTTAACAGGGATGTTTTCCAGACCCCATGTGGCAGCTCTGGCTTTCTTGACAATTTCTTGGCCCATTCTAGTGTCCTGTTTGCATCCTTGCCAGTCTCTTCTTTCTATGACAGGTCTTAGAGCTGTCCCAGCACCCTCCCTGTTCTCTCAGTGATTTCCTTCTCTGTGGCCATTTGACACCTCCATTTTCCTCTTGCAGGAATAATGGGTTGGAATAACTGACTGTCCCAGCCCGCCTGGCTACTGAGTCCAGATTTTAAGGATGACTGAATACAGTAGGCATGCAAATGCAGCATCCATCTCCAGGCAGCTTCAGAGAGTTTAGACCAGGCACACTTTGCTTCCCAGTTAAAGGTGGTTAATTAGAACGTGAATTACAATCCAGCATTGAAAATCACCTTGAAATAAGTATTTCATTTATAAAAATGTTACATCTTTAAAGTGTCCTAGTTCAGTGGTTATTTCCATGCTTGATTTGGCATAGCTGCTACACTAGATTACAATACGCTAAGCAGCTCTTGCTGATGAACAGCTGTATCTGTAACCTTATGCAGGCATAAATGTAGCTGTAGCTGTTAATAATCACTGCACAGAAAACCTCTGTTGAGGGAATGGAGGGCAGTGAATGAGTCTTGGATTATCTGAACTTGAAATGTAAAATCACCCCTATTGCTAAAGGAAAACTGATATTAGAGTGACCAAAGAGTGTATCTGGTGCTTACACAGAGGTTTCTTGTGAGCTTCTTGTATTGATACAGGATCATCACGTCACTAAAAATCACAAAGAGCTTCATTTAACTGGGTAGACATTCAGAATAGGCTTAATATATCAAAATATGCCAGATAGACAGCAGTGCTTCTCTAACTCAGTCTGGCTCTGCAAGGCTTCATTCACCATGGTTTCTGCAAAATAATGGTGTTGTACCTTGTCATCTGAAAATAGCAGCTTAACACCATCTCTACAGACATTGTGTAATATATATGTAAAGACTACAGCATGTATCTACACTCAACTCCTAGGTGCAACAAGACAGGGTGTATAGTAGAACCACACTGTATTCGATACCTGATGAAAAAGCCAAAAGTCCTGGAAATGCAGTGTGTCTCAAGAGAAGCACAGCCTCCAAGATGGCGGCACACAGTCTGTGTGGCTGCAATACACAGACCTTTCATTTTACAGAAATATACACGTTTTTCTTCGCTCCTGTCTCACATCTACTGCGCACCACAGGACAGGTTCCCAAATGCAAGGTTTTCTGTATTTTCTTTAAGTAAGTTATACTTAAAGCATCTCTTCCCCCCACCATCACCACAAAGAATAAACACCGGAGGGAGTGTGGGACGTAGGAAAGCGGCAGTCTTTAATTGGATGTTCTTAGGAGCAATATTTGAAAATCTGAAGTACAAAACCACGTCTCCTTCCAGCAGAGCTGGAGTGTTTCAACAAACTTATCTACGTTCGGCCAAGGCAAATGGCAGGTCAGGGAGCAAAGGAAAAACAACTCTTCTTCAGAAGAAGCCCAAACAACTTCCCTCGATATGCCATGTGGCCATATGAAGAACATAAAAACCAGGGAACCAAAACCAGGGGTTGTGCTAACGAGCTTCAACAGGTCCCTGATTGTTTCAATTCCTGATAAGCAGCACTGCTGCCTAGACAATGGCTCAAGGGAATGTGGAGGAAGCTGTCTGGTTGATGATATCATCTCACTTAGCCACACTGCTTTCTGTTTTGTAGCTTATTTTCCAGTTTGTTTGGGAGAGAAGTACTAGTCCAAGAAAACAGAGAGATCAGTTTACAAAGTACTTTGGAGAAATGCAAGTTGATCAGACTTTCTGAGTACGGCATGTTTTTATTACCAAATTTTGAAATCTGTCTTGAAAAGAAACGTTTTTCTGCAAGTGCAGCTCTTCTGTTTCTGTTTTCTTAAAATCCCTCCTTGGGGCAATGCGGGTAGCACCTATTAGGGCAGGATTCCTCACAAACAGGGAGAAGGAATGAAAACATTTCAAGTTCTGTGGCATTTCCTCAACAATGGAAGAAGGTTGGAAGTCAGGCAGGAAAGCACAGAAGAAGGAAGGAAGGAAGGAAAAACTTTTATTAGCACGGTCTTGGCAGAGTACCCTGATGGAACACAGGTGAGATCAGAGCTACAGTGAGTGTCTAGTCCTTAGTCAACTTCATTGTTACACACGCAGACTAGATTGCGCAAAACAAGGAAAACACTACCTAAAATTTGCTTTAAAAGTTATTTAACCAGAACAAATCATCTGGGAAAGTACAAATATTTCTAACTGGAAAAATATTTCTCTACAGCTGAGCTAGGCCTGGTAGCAAACCTTAGTGAATTATTAGTACCTTTATTGTTTTCTTTGGCCCCTCTGCACTATATTTGTAAAAAAAAGTCACTAAAAAAGAGAACAATTGTAAAAAGCAAATATTTTGTACAAAAATACAAAGTTTTAAAAGCTCTTAAAAGTATATTCCATATTATTGATAAGAGTTGGACTATATATATATATTTATATAAAATCTATATATTTGTGTATCTGTATAATTTTCCTACATTTGGGATTTTAGCAAATGAAACATCCTGTTTACACGGTTGCTTTATATGTTTTTTTATATATGACTGACCAACAGTCTTACTCAGATTGAGAAAATGTCTTTTTTTGGAAGGCACAAGTTGCTGATATCTGTGGTTACTGGTTGGGAAGAAAAATCTATAGCAGAATTAGTCCAATGGTATTTCCTGATGCTGTGGGGTGAAAGGCTTCAAACAGTCGGATGCTGAAGAAGAGTTGCTGATGAATTTCTTTATGCAATTTAACCAGTTTTCAGTGCTTGCTTTTGGTTTTGATTTTTTTTTTCTTTCTTTCTTTTCTTTTGTTGTTGTTATTGTTGTTGTAGGCAGTGTTGCTCTCCCCTAGGATTTTCTTTTTCTTGAAGTGAATTTTCACAACATGTAGATATCTGTAAAGTCACAGCCTTTTACACTCCAAATATTTGCCCTACAATATGAGAGAAAAAAGTCAAACAGAAAAACATCACATAAAAAGCTTGTGAAGATTAAACACATTTCTAAAAAGAAAACTTACTGAGATCAAGGTATGTTAAAATTCTAACTGGACTCATGTTCAGATTCGATAAGTCCTGGAGGATAAATATTTGTAAACCATTAGGCTTTTTTAAAAAAACAAATGTATGCAGGGAAAGGAGGACACATCGTGTTGTTACTTACATATAGTCCTTCACTCTGGACACCCAAACCGTGTTAGACACACACAAAACTTGTTCAGCACTTTGTTTGGTTTTGCTGTAGGGGGATGTTTTTGTGGATGGGAAGTACTTTTGGCTCTAGCTGTCATTTCCATCTGCCTTTGCTAAAATTCAGCCTACATGTTTGCAAGTGGTGCAGCTGGGCACTCTCAGCAAAGCAATGTTACACCAGTTGTACGTAGGTGTTAACAATTAGGTGGAACAAGGCCCTGAACACCATTACCACCTCGCTGCATAATGGCAGGGATGGATTCCAAGAAACCATGCAAACCACTCTGCACTCTGCCTGTATATCTAGAAAGAGAGCCCCCATGGCAACTGCCTGGCTGACTGCTCAGCCATGAGGCCGTTTACAAGCTGTCCACTGCACTGGCTACTATTTGCAACAGAGCAGTTGCTTGTGGCATGGGACCTGGCTCCTCAGCCCAATGGGACATCTCCTGGCAGCATTCTTGTCTGAATTTTAAGGCCTTCTTAGCAGCCACCAAGTGCTTCCTGTTGCATAAACTCTCAGAACAGTGTTTGTTTTTTGAAGGCTGGTCCCGGAACCAGCCTAAAGGCCAGTTTTCACACCTGCTTGGCCGTTGAGTTTATAAAAAAAACTTGCAGTGTGGCCAGGGTCTGAAGCACATGTGCCAAACCATGTCTGAAATTTTAGGCATGTTTTCCAAGTGGCCAAGAGGCAGAGCACATGATGCCTGCAGTCAGTCTGAAGGCTGCTTTTCCAGAGAGTGATCAATCCAGCATCCACATCATGTACATTATTAGCACTGCCACTGGAACCAACCTTATGCCTGGCTCATCTCCTCACTACCTACCCATTACCTAGATTTAGACTGGATATAAAGAAAAAGTTTTTTACCATAAGGGTGGTGAGGCACTGTAATAGGTTGCCCAGAGAGGTGGTGGATGCCCCATCCCTGGGGACATTAAAAGTCAGGATGGACAGGGCTCTGAGCAACTTGATGTAGCTGTAGGTGTCCCTGTTCATTGCAGGGGAGTTGGACCAGATAATCTTTAAGGGTTCCTTCCAACTCAAATGATTCTATGATTCTATCTGTGTGAAATGTACTTGAATTTGACCTGCCACATATAGAGTGAAATAATCAAATCGTGCCTCACTTACCTTTATCCATGTCTTTTTCACAAATGAAATTGTTAACGTCTTCACAGTAGAAGTCATTCCAGAGCCCAGCGTAGATTAACCCAGCACAATCTTCTCCTGGCCCGTGCCCATGACTCCAGTTATCAGGTTGCCCAGTTTTCCAGTTTCTTTCAACAGAAAAGCAATAGATATTATTGCACAATGCGGCACACATGATAGTTTTTCAACCACAAGAAATTAACAAAAACATCATGAGATCTGTTCTGAAAGGGAAATACACGTTGAGACAAACAATACATGACTCTTGCTGAAAATGGAAAACAGATGTATAACAGAGAAGGGAATCTATTTGGCTTCAGGCTGCCAAGACTCAAAGACCTAAAATTAGACCAATGAACTTTATTTTAGTTTCTGAATGTACATGCACATGCAGTGGGAGTGCTCCATGTGCATTGTTCTGAACCTGCACAGTGTGCACTCTTCATTCCTGCCAGCAGATGGTACTGTGAGAAGCTGGCAGAAAAAGATGGCAGTGTGGTGACTTGGCCAGTCATTGAACCGAGATGGACCTCTTGGGAGGCACAGCAAGGGTTATCTAACTTAGAGATCAGTGTTTCAATAGAAGGTGAAATGTTGAGCTTATAAAGAATGTACAAAGTATGCATCTAGATATATTTCGAGATCATTAGTCTTCATGGGGAAAGTTAACACAGTATGTAAAGAGCTTGCAGGAAGTGTTTCCTCATCCTGTTTTTGTTTAACAAGTGAGACACACTTCCAAAGTTGGGATTTAAAAGCTCAGTTTTCCTGAAGGAACAGGTTGTTGACCAGAACTTGTGATTGCTGGCTGATATGGGCTGCGCTCAGTAGAAAATATGCCTGCCTGACACAGAGCATCTGAGCAGGCACCTGGGAAGACGTGTGGCTTTCCGAGTAATGAAATACTTTGAAAATAAGAAACTGACAGCTCTGAGGTTATTACAGGGCACCTAAACCCATGGTGTGGTGGAAATCTATTGAAAGCAGTGGCTGAAGCAGGACTCTGGCACAGTGCTGCCATAAAGAGGATGAGAAATGAAAGCATGGAAGGAGAAAAAGGGAAAAATATTATGGCTCATTTGAAATGCATCTGACTTTTCAATGTTTCTCATCAAAATGAGCACCTATGAGATCACAGCTAATTAATTTGTAACAATTGACTGACTGAGCCTGTTTTTTTGGAGCACAGCATGCTCAGCTCTGTAAACTCTTTGGTATTAAAAATTTGGGTGTTTGAAATCTGTTCAATTTAGGACAAATTAGGTGTAACCCTAGGATTTCTGGAGAGCTGCCAATTCAGTTCTTGGCCAGCCAAAGCTTAGACACCTTTGTTTCGAGCATTTACCTTATGTTCAATGCTTTCCACATGGTTTTGGTCTTTATCTAAAGGCTGGCCATTTTTTATCAGAACCCTCTATTTATAGCCACTTGTAATGCAAATAAGGAAAATTCAAACCAAGACAGAAAAACTGTCTGTGCTTTCCATCTCAACTTTGTAATAAAAGTCAGGAGGCAATGTTTTGGCAAGGAATGCTTTGCTGTGTAGTTACGTGATTCTTTCATTCAGTGTTCAGCCTTCCTTCTGGTGAGGAAATAAAGCTGTGTGCATAGAGAAGGGAGAGAGAAAAAAAAGTTCAACAGCAACCTCAGTAAAGAATTATTTCATTGGCATCTACAAACCTCTGGATCCATGGGATAATTTCTAGATGTTGTTTACAGAAGGGTTGGCAAGAATGGTAGATTCTGCAGAAAATAAACACTATTGTTTTTATTTACATACGTGTAAAGCGGTAAGGATCCATCCAGCCACCTCCATTCATTTTCCTTCTCTGAATCTGTAAGTCCAATCCAGAAGCTGCCTTTCCCCGAAATCTGCCTCTTTATCCATTGCTGCGGAAGAAAGATATTAGTGCATAACAAGCAAATACAGTCTTTGGAGATATTAAGCTACAAGAGCATCTTTGCTATCAGAATAGGAATGCCTGGAGAAACTTTTTCAAGCTGAAGACAGGTTTCATGAGTTTGCTTTGTGACAACATATCTATTAGTGCTATCTGCAGATGAGGTACAGAGAGCTAGTCATCAAAGTAAGGTGGATGTAAAGTCACAGCTAACATCTTACAGATACAAATGGAAGAAAAAAAAAACAAAAACAAACCGATAAACCACCAACAGACAGGAAGCACTTGTATCGTGATGTTCCCTATGCCACATAGCCACAGAGTAATTATGTTTAATAGTACTAAAAGTACAGCTAGATTTATAGTTACATTAAAAACATTTGTGGGTCACAGTAGTCAGGTTGCATATATTAAAAAGAATTTTAAAATAAATTATTTTCAACACTGAAAAAAGTCCACATTCTGGATTGTATGCACAGCATACTGGACTGCATCTTCAGAGGTTTGAAACTCCTCCAATTCTCACCATTCTTCCTGTGCTCTGTGACCAGAACCTTCAGGGTGAGACGCTTCTCACAAGGAATAACTGCTGAGCAGAAGGTGGACAAAATGCTAACTGAAGTAAATCAACCACTGTGTGCACTTTCACTATATGAATTTATGATGCTCTCAGCTTCCCACTTACTTTGCTGCTTCAATATGTTAAATAAGCAGAGATTCCCTCGAAAAATTGAAAGAAAAGGTAGTTACCTGTTCTTCTTTGTTGTTTATGATAACCAAGCGCGATGCCTTCTCTTCACAGAATAACTTTGCCTCTTCAAAAATTTCTCTTTCAATTGAAAAGTAGTAGCATTTTTCTGTGTAGTTCTTCCAATGAGGAGAACAACCTACGATATGATTTTTTTTTGCATGAAACCAATTACTCATAAATCAATGAGACAACAGTAACTTTCTGCATAGGGCCAATAATTAGGGGAGTATCCCATCTACAATGCATTGCCATCTAACATATTTAGGTATGTTTTGAGAATCTATTTACGAAAATCCTGACTGTGAAATCAAGGTTAAACTGTGAGGCCAATGGGACCATTTATTCCACATACAACTTAGGATTTTTCTGTAGCTGTAAACAATAAATTGAACCAGCTTCAGACTCTAAGTGGGAAGACTAAGGTATAGCTTCACTTGACAAGGGTCTTTATGATTAATCTCAGAGACTGAGATGTAGCAGAGGTTGAATGAACCAGTGACTCTGGTGAACACCCTCCACCAGGTATATCTGTATCACAGTGAAAGATGCACACGTTTCGATAGCTTACCGTTAGCCTCAGGCACTGATGTAGGTTCGCTTTGTAGTGCCATTGGCATCCCTGGACCTGGTGGTCCTGGTGGGCCAGGTGGGCCTTTTGGACCAGGCAGCCCAGGGACTCCAGGTAGCCCAGGTAGTCCTCGAGGTCCTGGCACTCCTGGCTCTCCCACAGTTCCTTGCAGGCCTTGAAATCCTGGTGGGCCTTGTGGCCCCTGTGGACCATCTTTGCCTTGTGGACCTGGTGGCCCTGGGTCTCCGCTTGGTCCAGGAAGACCCGTTTTGCCAGGAGAACCTCTCTGACCTTTGGAGCCTGGTGATCCTCTTGAGCCTTTCCCTCCTTTCTCTCCTGGTGGCCCAATTGGCCCAGGTGGGCCCTTTTCACCTGCAGGTCCTGGTGGTCCAGGCTCTCCTTTCTCTCCTTTTTGTCCTTTTAGGCCAGCAGGGCCAAGAGGACCTTGAGGGCCTCTGTCACCTTTAGGTCCCCTTGGACCAGGAGGGCCTGAAACAACGTAAGCATTCAGAGTGGGAATACAGAAGAAAACAAACAAAAAGCCCACCTGGGGTCCCTCTTTAATATATCTCAGATCAGTGACGCTGGATATGCAGCACTGTGAAAACCAGGCTAACAGCTACTTGCAGCTGTGCTTGTAAAAGTAAGTCTGCTTCTCAGGCTCTACACACCGTTCCTCTTTTCTGAGCTTCCACGAAATATAAAATTTAGAAGAAAATCATCTGATGCATCTTGTCCTATGAACCCGACAGTACTATGATGCCTCAGGTGACCAGTTGAGGTGCACAGCAAAACATGCTCTGTGCTGGTTGTGCATGCACTCCCATTCTCCCATTCTGCTGTACTTCCTTTTCCTTCCAGTAATATCTCCTCTCTTAGACTACTGGACTGCTTTTCCTGCAGTGCTGTTTCTTACTCTGTCAATAGTGGGTTGTCAAAGAGACAAAAAAGATGGACAATGTGCAATAGGCCAACAGTAGGAAAGGCCAGTTATATTCACTAGCTGGTAGGTTATAACAGGAAACGGAACAATATACAAGATAGGAAATGGTAATGCTGTGGCAGTTTTCCATATATAAATATCAAAATAATTTTAGATTCAAATTATTTGATCATGGGTGATCAAATATTTTGCCTACATATGTTTTTTTCAGCATCATTTATTTTCCTTCAGACATAAATTACTCAGCTACAGTAATTTAGACCTGTGTGAAATGAAAAAGCTTAAGGTTACTGACTTGTAATCTTGGCTCTAATTCAGACTTAGTCTATTTGGAACATTTAGTTTTCACTTGTGATTAGAGTTTTAGGCCTGGCTGGTTCCATCAGTTTGGTAATATTCATGTTCTTTTCATTTGACTGGGAGAAACCTCCTAAACTTGATGCTATTTATTCCTGGAGAAAATAAAATATTCCAGGATTAAAAAATAAGCAAAGTAGGATGTATTCTGGCGAAATAACAACGGGCTTAAAGTAAAATCGTAACTTGTTTTTCAGTTAGGGTGGACCTTTCTGGGAATAGTCCAACATATATTTTTTAGCCATTTCCTCCTTAGCTGGGATTGGTTTCTTGAGGTTCCACACCTTCACTAACTTATTTTAGAAACTAAATCAAAAGCAGATCCAGGCAGTCACTCAGAATAAAATCTGCTAAGTCAGAACCTTCTTTCATAACATCCCCATTCTAGGTATGTAACGAAGGCATAGGAAAATTAGTAAGGAAAATTCAAGCTACATTTACATTTCCAAAGTTCAGGATTATATAATGGAAAACACCAGAACTGTGTACCAACGTGCATTAACTTAAACAGAAATAAAGTACTGCAAATAGGAATTCATCACAGTCCATTACGAGCTTCACTGGAGAACCTACATACCTTGTAGGATAGTGAAGTTCTTGATGAGCTGGCCATGTTTGGAATCTACCAGCTTCATTTCTTCCATGATTACTGACAAATTGGCAACTTCAACATCTAACCTTGACCTCATCAAATCCTGTTGCATCTTGAGTGATGCAGAGTCTAAACGAATATTGGCTAGTGTGCTGTTCATAAAAATCAGCTCATCTGAATGTTTACTTAAGGTGTCTGTACAAGTTGTCCTGACCTCATTGAGATTGCTAGTCAATGTCCGTAGATGATGAGCAGTGTAGCTGATGTTGCTAATTATATTGACTATATCAGTCTCAAAGACCTGGAACCTCTCTTCCAATTGGCTGAATTTGGCAGAAGTTCTGTTTTCATATTCTTTATGCTGTTCCTGGAGATCCTTCAGATTTTGTTCATTGGCTTGGGCAATTGTGGTAATATTCTCCATTTGCCCACTGAAGGAACTGAGCTGATTGTTCATGTCTTCAAGTGTATCGTTATTAGCTTTTGCTAATGCTGAGTTGTTGGCAGCCAAAGTCTGTAAATTTTGTACTTTTTCCTTGAGCCAGTCAGTGTCCTTCCGGGCTTGAAGGACAACCTGCTGCAGGTTTTGAAAGTCATTCTTGATTCTTAGAATAGCCAAACTTGTATCTTCCATAGACTTCTGCAGGACACTGATAAGATTTCTTTGCTGTATTTGTGTCAAGTTTAAGTTGTTAAGGTTCATGATGACCACATTATGAGAATGCACTTGGTTTTGCAAATTTGTTTGGATATTACTTGTGTCTTGTTGAAGATTGTTTATATAGCCAGTATACGCCTGAAGAGTCTTATTGACACTGATGATCATGAAAGAGTTACTATCTAAGGCACTTCTCATTTGGCTCTGTCTATCATCTAGTACATTTCCAGATTCTTGGAGCTTCTCCAGTGTATCTTTGTTTCTGGTAGTTTTCTCTGCAATGTCATGAAGCTGCTGACGAAGAGCCAGAATGTCAGATCTGAAGCTAGACAGTTCAGTGTTAGTATTCAGGGCTTTCTGTCCAGCTTGGTCATCTGTTGTACAGACAAAAATATTAATGAAAGAATTTTAAATGCTTTTTAAAACAAACTATAAAAAATTACAATATATTTTAGGTATGTTACGGCTGTCAAAATGTTTTGTCAATAGGATTTCTTCAATATCTTTTCCAGACAAGAGCAAAATTTTGTCACTAGACAGAGTAGAAATACAAAAGATGAAAACTATATCTTGCTGAGGGGAAAAAAAATGGTGTTTCTGTTGTCACAAATATGAAAACCTGCCATTAGAAACTATGACGAATACACACTGCCAAGTAGTGCTTCTATTTTGAATGAAAACTGAATGGTAAAAAGTATTTAAAATACCAAAGAGGTAACAGAAAATTTATGCTTTGAAGCTACAGCTGGCTTTTGCTGAAAGTTCAGAAGTAGATTCTAACAGTTCATATTTTCTTCCTCCTGTCTCTGGCAGGTGGAATATCTTCACTGTGATTTAGTACAAATAGTTCTGTATTTTTAAATCTTGGGTTTAGTTTTAAAATGGTTATAATACCAATTTTAAAACAATTTGGGTAAAGACAAAAGCTTTGCCATCAGGTTATTGTAGACATGACAGGATACATTTCCTTTTTTCTCTTGAATGTACCACTGTTGCTCCTAATGACGTTTCTTTTGCTTTTATTGTTTCCTCATGTTCTGACTTTCAGGAAAGCAAAATCATAACCATTAAGGTAACATCTCAGCTTTTGCTTGCACTGCTCTACAGTATACTCCCGGAACCTTGTCTGAGTGTAATTAAGCTTTTGAGGTTGCACAGTTCATCATTCAGGACAAAGAAAGTACAGAAATAAGCAGTCAACACTCACTTGGAGGGAATATTCCCTTTCTTGACCTCAATCACTTCCCTCTGCTAAACGCAGTCCATATATTTTTGTCCTATCAAAGTATAACTATGTGAATAATGTAGCCTGAAGTCCACCGCTTCAGATGACTCCAAGAGGGGGTAGGATGGTTTTCATAAACTACAGTGAATATGGCTCTGTAAGGAGCTTTCTTCTGATGTGTTGGAATGAGTCGCAATGGTGAACAGCAAGAGAAAACTTCAGCCAGAAGTGTTTATGGAACATAAACACACACACACTGCCCTGTAACATTTTAATTTCCTCCATGGCAGATCCACTTAAATTGGGACTGATGGTCTGAGCACCTCATTGGCCATCCATCAGTAGTATGTAAACATATGTGGACATGAACTAAATCAAAGGTGCTCCAAGTGGTGATCAATTTAATCAGCATGAAAGATTGCATGTGCTTTCAGGTATAGCATTTATGCCTACATATGTATCAGCCAAAATACATGCCACTGAATTATCCCACATTGTTGAAATAAACGCAGTGTGCAAATACTTCAGAATACAGCTTGGTTTTTAGCGGAAGAAGCTGTGAACATCAAGCTGCAAGCTAGTGAATTTCCCAAGCAATACAAATCTCAATATATTGTTTATGAAGTGAAACAAAATGTATTTCAAGAAGCACATGCTTGTATGCACACATTTATACTTAAATAAGAAGTATTTACATAAACTATAAATCTGTGTATCTATAAGCTGATAATAAACAGCTTTGCTACCTTTCCAGACAAGGAAGAAAGGTAGAAATGTAAATAGAGTGAGTTGGGAATCCCTACCATGATTTTTTTGCATTTTCTTGATAATTAAGAACTGTGACTACACTTGGGAGACCTGAGCTCACAATAACTTCATATTTTGTATTCTCTGAGATGATTTTATGGAAGTTTACTTTATGTAGAATCTCTGCCTTTGTTGAAGAGCTTCTGCTATATTTTACATCTCTAACTCAGAAAAAGACTCCCGAGGACAACTTTTAAGTTCTTATTTAGGTATGGATACATTCAGAGTGACTTCAGTAGGAAGTGTAAATATTAAAGTATGCTTAAAATGTTGCCCCAGGTAAAGACAGCCTTAACAAGTGTTTTCCCAAGTACTCGAGAAATTGAAACACAAGTATCTTGACATAGCCAGACAGTTTTCAGACAAAATTCTGGCCTGTATCTTCCAGGAGAATGCTGAAAAGTCATGATAAAAAGGGGCTTTGGTTGCATGTAGATTACCTAATTTCTTCAGATCACTCTCCACCTCTGTGAGCTTTTCTGTATATCTTCTATGGGATGTTTCCAGGCCACCTGTCACATTGTTCATTTTTTCAACAACTAGGGTAAAGAAAACAGCGTGTTATGGAAAGAAGAAAAAGTCAAATTATGAAGTGCAGTAAACTACAAAACAAACCAAAAGAACACTGCTAGCATCAAACTTAAAAAAGCATTAAATCTGGCCTGATGCCACTACACTCAGTTGTTGTGCTATGAAACAACAGCAGGATGAACTCCCATCTGCTGGTGGTACCCAGCACACTTCCAGTTCTTCACTCTGCCAACAGTTCCCACACATTTCTTTACTCAGAAGCAACCTCCCTTATGAATAAAGAAATCCCTCTTTGTAAGTTTTCCTAATGAACCAAGTCCTTGTTTTCACAGAATCACAGAATTGTAGGGGTTGAAAGGGATCCAGAGATCATTGAGTCCAACCCCTGCCAAAGCAGGTTCCCTACAGCAGGTCGCACAGGTAGGCATCCAGGCAGGTCTTGAACATCTCCAGAGAAGGAGACTCCACCACCTCCCTGGGCAGCCTGTTCCAGTGCTCCGTCACCTCACTGTAAAGAAGTTCTTGCGCACATTTGTGCAGAACTTCCTATGCTGCAGTTTCCGGCCGTTTCCCCTTATCCTGTCTCCACTCACCACTGAAAAGAGTCCGGCCTCGCCATTCAGCCCCCCACACCTTAGATATTTATAGACTTGTCTTTTCACAGTACTTCCATGCTACAAGTGCAGTGTTTTGTGGTAGACTGGTTGCTAAAAGCTCATACAGCTCATACATGTGAGAGAAGCCTTCCCTTTATTTCGCATGATCCACTGAGCCATTACTCCTTGAAGAGGCCATTTTTTTTTTCTTTTCTTTTTTTCCCCTGAGCCTTTTAATCATTAAAAAAATGTCTCCTGGATACAAGCTCTGGTCTGCCATAGCAGTTTGAAGATGCATCTATTAAGCACTTCCAAAACCAACGTTTCTGAAATCAACATTTAAATGTGTTAATAACGGCATAAATCACTCAAAATGTTCTCAAAATTGTTCTGACTTGTTAAGATTGAAATGGTGGCCAGTCAGCAAGTGCAGCCTTATGGCTTCCTTTAATGTGTTTTTTATTTGGTAATGTCTGAGTCATTTTCTTGTCACCGAGACAATTTGATGATTTGATTGAGTTGACATGGCAATGGAAAAAGCAACAAATAAAGAGCCTGGATAGGCTTCTAGTGACAGAAATCTGTACTTGAAGCAACCAGGGAAATGTTTGCAAGGCTGAGGAGCTGTCTTCAGCTTCCATGGCAAATCTACTTGAACATGCTTGGCATTCAAACAGCAACCATGGGCAGAAATTTTATTCTCATCACCTGACTATTTGGCCCTCAGGTTACACTGGGAGCAGAACAGATCTGCGTGAACCCTTGGAGTGGCTGCATGAGGCATTGTGCCAGTCCCCTATTCAGACAGGAGAAATAATGTTTCCCATGCCTTTAGGAAACCTAATTCTCTAGGCCTGTGCTAGGTTGAAGATACCAACCAATTCTTTCTGTCTGTGAGATTATCTGCAGCCACAAAGTAGCCTCATAGAAGCTGTTGCTATGTAAAGAATGGTTTTTCACTAGGAGTGGAAATTTAAGCGATATTTTGCTCTTCTGAGCAACCACAACCAGAACTTTGAAGTGCAGACCACCAAGTGCTCCTTCTTCATTTTGCCCTTGTTTTTCTGTTCATGGGTACAGATACACAGAAGTTTTAATGCTTTCCAAAAAATCAACAGACAAACAGCAGATCAAGATCATCTCTGATGTAACTACACTGAGGTGAGTGGACTTGCAACAGAAGAAAAATCTCAAGATTTTCAAAATGACTGGACATCCCTTGATGAATAACCTTCCTACTCCCTTCTAACTGCTAACAGTGCAATAAAAAAGAGGCTCTACTGTGAGTGTAAAGATAGAGTCAGAGTGCAGATTTCAGTATTTGGGATGATGGCCTGCTAAAAGCCATGCTACAATAATGACCCTGGCAACAAAATCGTATTTCTTTTTCAGGGGGACTATTACTCAGTACTGCTTGCTTTAGAAAGGATTTTCTCCCTAAGTATAACACTAATATTTCACAGGTTCTTCTGCCTGTGAAAGGTACCTGTTGTACACCATTTTTCTCAAATGAAGCCAAGCTGATCCTCTGTTAGTTCTCACTGACTGTCTTCCAGGCTGGAGCCCAGCCCAGGTCCTTCTGTAACTTCTCACACTCCACTGATGCATGTATGCATCATACACAGCGAGCATGGGGACCCTACTTGGTATTTCTTTCTGGCCAGCACTAGGCAGCTCCTTGTTCATTCCACGATGCTTTGCTTTGTTTATGAATAGTCATCACGAAGGATACAGCTCACTGTGCTCTTAAAAAAGATCTAGCAAAAGCATTTGGATTTAAAAAGCAGACCCAGTCCAAGTGCTTTTGCTGAACCTTTGCCTACCAATATCACATTGTCTATGTTAACTCAGATTCTGCATACTATTCACCTGCTTACTCCAGTTATGCAGCACACTTGGAGTTGAAAAATGAATATATATTAACAATAATGAAAGGAAATATAGTTTATTCCTTTTGCAGTTTGACTGACAGTATTTCAGATCTAAAGTTTGTAAACCTCAGACTTTTTGCTGCTCTGTAGCAGCAAGAATGTTGACTGAATGAAATCTAACACTGGAAACTAATATCACAGTATTCCCCTGAAGAGTTTAAAGTAAATGAAAATAGTAGAATACTATCAATATGCAGTAGCCTGTACTGGCAGCTGGTGAGATTGGATGGAATTGCATATACAACAGCATATGGTATTTTTGTTACCAAACTCAAAAAAAAAACAAAAAAAAACCCCAAAAAACCAAAACATCCATACCAAAAAGACTGAAGGTGGTTTGTAGCTGGTTTGTAGCTATGAATATTCTTTGTGTAGAACACTCCGAACATTCATTGAAGCGGCAATTTAATGAGAGGTCTTACTGGCACTATTGACAACTGGCTGTAGTATGTAGTGAAGACCATGGCTACTCTGTGCCTGAAAGATGGCAAATCACAGAATCAAAGAATCATAGGAGCTGGAAGGGACCTCTGGAGATCATCCAGTCCAGCCCACAGCTAAAGCAGGTTCCCTCCAGAGGGTTGCACAGGAAAACATCCAGGCAAGGTTTGAATGTCTCCAGAGGAGACTCCACAACCTCTATGGACAGCTTGTTCCGGTGCTCTGTCACCCACAAAGTAAATGTTCAGATGGAATTCCCTGTGTTCCAGTTCATTCCCATTGCCCCTTGTTCTGCTGCTGGGCACCACTGAAAATAGCCTGGCTCCATATCTCTGTGACTCCCACCCATTAGATATTTATAAGCAGTGATAAGATTCTCCCTCTGTCTTCTTCTCCCCAGGCTGAACAGCCCCCGGTCTCTCAGCCTTTCCCTATACCGGAGATGCTCCAGGCCCCTCATCATCTCTGTAGCCCTCCGCTGGACTCTCTCCAATAGTTCCCTGTCTTTCTTGAACTGAGGAGCCCAGAACTGGACACAATACTCCAGATGTGTCCCCAGCAGGGCAGAGCAGAGGGGGAGGATCATTTCCCTTGACCTGCTGGCCACGATCTTGTTAATGTATCCCGGGATTCCACTGGCCTTCTTGGTCAGAAGAGCACACTGCTGGTTCATGGTTCATTAGCAAGAAGATGCTGGTTTAGGGAGGCTGGAAAGGGGATGCTGCTTTCAAATATACAATGTAGTGGTTTTGTCTATAAGATACTAAACTGTTGACGACTTACTCAGATTAACTGATGTCAAATGCAGAATTAGTTTTATCAGGCATACCGTTTCCTTGGTTTTTGTTCTGCTTCCCCTCACAGGGTATCAACACCGCAGTGCAAAGTGTGGATAAAGGCAGAAATGCCAAGGCTAAAAGGCAAACTGATCCTGATGTTCTTTTTGAAGGTCATTCTGCTGCTTCCAACAGTCTGCTGCTTTCAAAAAATGCAAAGTTTGTCTGTGCCTTGAGCTTCCATTTGGACAAGTTCATCTTAACTCTCAACTTGATGAGATATCTCTACACTGTGATCTTAAATTTCTGACAAGGTCACTGTGAAAAATTTATTAAAGGTCCTGCAGAAGAAGCCAAATGTTCAAGTAATTGTTGACCAGAACAGAGAAGAGTGTCTGTACCTGACCTACTCTGTGTTTCATCCTCAGTCAAGTAGGAGAGAGAAAATGTACCCTCTCACCAGGGTGCATTGATCTTGAGTAACCGCAGAGAAAAGCTGGGAGACAGGAAAAGCAAGGAGGTGAAAGTCGTAGTAGTCATTAGTCAAAAATATATAAAACAAGGACTGATCAGCACTGATAACTATCAAGAGTTCAAACTGAGAGCAAGAGGTTCCCTTAATGGAGAGAGTTGCAGAATGATCTTTCACCTCACATAGACTAATTTGGCACTGCTCAGTGCCAGAAGTTCTATAGCTTTGTATTTTTGCATTTTATTTAAGAAAGCATATTTTAAAATCACAGCTTGCTTTATTAATGTTTTTAAACAGCTATTTCACATTTCTTCCAAAAGTGAACTAGTAGTAAACTCAGCTTGTTATTCCTCCACGACCTCAACATTTAATTCATGTTTTGGTTTCAGGTTTCTCCAACCTACTTTGTAATTTTTACCACCAATTTAGAGGCTTGTTCTGTATTGACTTTGCCTCCCATTGAGTTATTTTTTTGCCTGCCATATTTAATTCACTGATTAGTAGTTTTAATGTTTTAAATCACAAAGGATATCTAAATACTATGTAGGAAATGAAAGTTTTAAAAGTAGTTTTGGGCTTTATAAACATAAGCGTGGGAGGCAAATTTAATGGAAACTTAGCTAAGAGACTGAAAGAATCCCTGATGCCAGCAGAATTCCTTCTTTCAGTGTAATACTGCAATAAAAAAGACGAGCCAAACTCTGATGCAGAGGGGAGAGTTCAAGAGCTTTATAAAATTTTATTTTAAATTTTGTTTTTCCTTTAAGGCCTAATTCCTTCCTCACTAAGAAAAAATATTGCAGTAATTCCTTTGAATGTGTACCATCGACTGCGGCTTTGTTCAATTGCAAATTTTCCCTGCAAGTTAGCTTTTTAGGCACTGTAGAGACAAAGCTCTTAAACTGCAGGGTACAAAGGGTGAAATTAACACTTGGCATATGGCTACTTACTTCTTGAAGTTACTGAGAAGATACCTGGGACCAAAAAGGACTTTTCTCCAAAGTCTTTCTCTTGGAATTCAGGCGGAGCCATCACCAAGATGTCTTAAAGTCAGTGAAGATGTGCATTTTTTCCCCATTTCTGTGGGCAAGGAAATTCTTTTGTCCTTACCCTGGAGAAATATGGATGTGACAGAAAAGCTAGATCCAGCTCAGGCAGCAGTGACTAGTCAGTGCAAGAAGCAGGTTTAGAACTGACTATAGCAAAGAAGGGGCCTCAAGATGGGAGTGAAGCTTGGGGAAGAGACTGTGCTGGAGGCTTGTAGAGAATGAAGCTGGAAAACTGTGGACTGAAATGAGGAAGAGGAATATCCCCAAAAGATATTCTGGACAGTTTCCTTATTGCTATTGCTTCCTGCACATATACAAGCAAATGTTTGCCAAAGCAAGATACAGAGCAGTGGTCTCTCCAACTTGATTCTTTTGGATGCCAAGTGAGGTCTGAATCTTCTGGTAAGCCCCAGAACTGACAACCATGTAATAAAAAGCTCTTGAGAAAAACTCCACTAAATCCCAGTCATTTAGTGTCTGGGTTATAGTCCGGAAAGATCACATCTTTACTCACCATAAGCAGACATCTGCAAATTTATACATGCAAAAGGCCCAAGTTTCTCCTCCCCTAATCAGTATAACCAATCAATCTTTTCTTAACAGATCAAGAATCCTTCAAAGTCTTTTTTTCTCAGTATCTTACTTTCAGAAACCATTTACACATTCTTCAGGAGAACATCTGCGTAAGTATATATGTACTGCTTTTTTTCCCCCCCACATTTGCTTTTAATTTACCACATTCTGTCTGCTTTATAGTGAAAAAAGAATATCTCTATTTGGATAGAATACTCTTCCCATTCTCTCTTCTCCCTTCTTAAATTTACCATCTAAAGCAAGCAGTTGTAGTTTTCTTCCTACTTAAAACTCTAGTGAATCCTCTCAAGTAAGTATTTATCCCTTTCTACTTCTACAATTTCCTTTTTTTTCAGCGGCAAATGACCAGAGGTGATGTCAGTTCTCCTAATAGCACAGCTGTTGGTGGCATAGGATGCACTGCATGCTAATCATGTGAAGATTTACTCAGCTTCTTGGAGGGTTTATGAAGCTACAACTGAAAGCTGTGCTCAAACAGATTGTTTGAACCTTGCCTGTTTTTCTCCACAGTATGCTGCAGTTTTCTACTATAATGCTCAGAATGTTATTCATTTTCATTATCTTAGTAGAACCTCACATCCCACTTATTTCATGCATAGCTGTGAAGACATTCACATTGACTCAATCATAACAATATCTAAATGGCTACACTTAATTAGTATCCATTAGGTATGGAAATTTTAAGCTGTGCTTTCTAATACACCCTCGTGTGGATTTGCAAAAATGAAATTTCCTACATTACTGGGTTGCCCAACTGCCAGAATCTTTGAAAGCTTCTAAGCATCTCTGTTCATTGTAGATAACTCAATAAACTAGCACCTCCTACTTTAATCTTTCTTCCATGTATTTCAAAGTAATATTGATTCCACACTTTTTTCCTGTGAAAAATATTATAATTATCTTAGTAAGATTATTCCTGTCTCTCCCATCAAGAAAGACATTTATTTTGGAAGGGTGCTGATATACAAAAGGGCTCAATGAAATCAAGGCTTAACATACTGCAGAGCTTTGAGTCTTTCAGTTAGTACCCTTTCATAGCAGAAGAAAAACCAGTTTGTTTTAACTTTTTCGTCTTTTACAATTTCTAATCTAATTTCAAAACATCATAATTGCTTGAAAGTGAAACCCTAAGACTGAGCTTTTGTTGCTATATATGTACCACAAATAACACTGACAAAAATATTCACATTCAAGATGAAAACGTGATCAACTGTCTATGTAATACACAGAAACCTCCTTGGATGCTTGACTGAAAGAGAAATGTTGCACTTGATGCATACTTACCTTTGTATCCCAGAATGGCTACGGTAATTGTTAACAGGGCACATAAAATGTATAACAAGATGATGGAAAACTTCAGCGCCCAGTTATTTTTACACTTGGTACATTGAGTCCCCTCCTGAATACCTGCAAAAGAAAAGACGAACAATTTTAAAACAACAGCAAAAGACACATTGCTGGTTTCATCTCCATATTTTTTTTCTTCCATGTTCCAATAAACAAAATATTTATGTTATCAGATGAGAAATGGGTGCCTCTCTGCCTATTCTGCCAGGATAACCTCCACTGTGGAAGTTCCATTGTGGTTAAAGCATCAGCTTATTGATACAGCCACTTTGGGGTTTTAGGCTGTGCAAGAGAAGGAGGTTCTGCTTCACTGGAAAAACAGGGGCTTTCCTGGGAGACAGGATCATTTTCTGACTCTGCTACCAAGTCTGTGGTGAGCTTTGGAAGCCAAATATTTATCACTATATCCTCTGTCAGGATGCTGCCATAGCAGTTCTTTCTCAGCGTTCAGGCAACCTACAGAGACAACAGTAAATACTCTGCAAGGAAGAAGAGACAGAAATAAAAAAATAACATTGTGAAAGCACGGTAAGAGTACAGGATCTGCCTTACAAGCACTACCGCAAATGCAGACTGTGTGAAAGTTTTCTTTCCATAATGAGAGAGAGATTTTTTAATTTTTGATTTGGAGTGCACCATTTTCAAACAGAACAAGGACTGCAGTGCTAGTAAAGCCAGTGGCAGATACATACCAGCAGAAAAATGATGCTGAATTTTCCCTTGTAGACATGTTAAAGGGCCACAAAAACAGAAAACAAACCCTTATTATTTTAAATTCAAGCTTTTTTTTTTTTTTTTTTTTTTGTTTTCCAGAATGTTTTAATACCTTTGAGTCTCTCTCTTTTTTTGGTGCACTCCTCAGGAACAGCTTGAAGGTTTTGGGAGCATTGACTAAGATACAAAGAAATTCAGGAGAAATGTGATCATGTAAAAATATGCAAACTGGGCCACTGCACTGAACTGAATGAACTGGATTTATCCCTCCTTCCGATGTGCATTAGTAGGTCAGGATAAACGCAGCTTTCAGTGTCTGACAAAATATGCATTTCTTTGATATTTTACTGTATTTGTGTACTATTAGGGGAGTCCCACAGGAAAGCTTTAAGCTCTAATAAATTCTATGTACCAGATTACTTAACTAATCAAGATTTGTTCTGTAGCTTTTTATGAACAACTTATATTTCCCCTGAGGCCTAGCCCACAGCTGATCTTACTTTTCCCAACTCATGACCTTCTGTAGAGTCGTTTTTCGCTTTTATTTTATAAGAGAAAAGCACAGGCCTCTTCCCCTGGGGTCACCAAGGCCTGGTGACCGATGCAGCATATTAAGTCAACTGTATTTCTCTTTCCAAGAACTGCAGTCTAGTGACTTCCTCAGGCCCATTGTAAGAGAAGGAGAGATTACCAAACTGGAGCAACTCAGGAAGAGGATTTATACGAAGTTTCCAGCTAGCACATACACTAGCCATGCACAAGACAGAAATGTGTATCTCATAGGTCAACAGGACAACCTTCTTTCCACATTATCTCATGTTTCCCAGTCTTTTCAGCTAGGATGCCACATTCTATTATTACATGATGCATATAATGCCATTGGTTTGGGATACCTTATGTTTAGCATGAGATCAGTTGTGAATAACCAGTTCTTTTTTCAGGAACAGCAGAAGAAAACGATTTGCAAGTGTAAGCCCTGGAAATGAAAGGAAAGGAGCTGGTACAGAGTTGGGCATCTGAAGAGCCCATTTGTTGGTGCTTGGACTTGGAAGACTGGTAATACCTGCACCACAAAAGAAAAAAAGTGAAGAGTCCATAATCTGGTTGCCACATTTGGTTATAGACCTTGGTGTGAGGGTTGGTTTTCTTTTTCTGCTTGATAGCTGCAAGGGATTTACAAGTGGGGAAGTTATGCTTGCTGAAAAAGCTGAAGGAAGAAAGCAATTTTGTAAAGTTTTGTAGTATTTACTTGGAGACTTAAGTTATTTCACAGTGGAAGCTCATGGTGTCTGGAGCACCATTTTGCTGCTGTTAACTAGTATTAATGGGCTCACTGAGGGCTCTGTACTGTGTGTTTAACATAAGGTTCCTCCTCAGAAGCATTTAAAACTTAGATTCCAGAACTCTAAGACTCTGAACATTTCACATGTCAAAAAAACACTGGAGGCCTGGGGCACAGAGCACATCACATTTACCTTCTATGCTGTAGAGACAACAGAAATCTTGCTCCCTACTATTTTAATGTTAATGGAAGCAGAATCAAATCCATGACTGGGAAGACTGACAGACTGTGGAGGTACAAAGCCTAGAGAAAGTTAAGAAATATAAACAAAACATTTGACAGTGACTGCACATAGAAAAGTATCACTTGATTGTAGTCTCATATTAAGATTACTCATTTTATAACATGAGCTGCTTTCTGTCACTGTATTCCAACTTCCTGGGTAGTGTAATGAGCTGAAATGCTGCTGATGTCATTGGAAGTACTGCAGTCCAGCATCATGTATCATGTACGCTCCAATACATCACAAAGATCTTGTTTCATTTGTCTTAGTCCTCTCTAACACTGGTTCAATAAAACAGCACTTTGGCTTTAAGAACTTTTACTTTCAGCATATTTCAAACAGACATCAGAACACCCGAACAAAAGCCAGAGCTTTCCGTCCCTCAACAATCCGGCACTGCTGGTATCAGTAACATAAACACGGTGTAATAATGTGATCACACAGATGAGAGCGAGTCCATTAACTAATCTGGGCTGGAGCTGTGCATGCCTGCCAGTGATTCCCCCCACAGCCTCATCGAGCGTGCCGCAGGTCCAGGATGCAGTGAAACACCAGAGAGATCTAACAGACTCTGCTGTTCTTCTTTCACTAGAGATGGGCACAGTAAAGTCTTTCAGAATCATTAAATGTGCTCTTTATTGCAAATACATAGCCCTTAACTCTGCTAGCACCGGCTGGATTTCCAGCCTGCTAAGCATATAAAAATTATTCAAGATAGAGGTGCTTTGAAGGATAGGTGGAAGACCATTTTAATGTCTTTTAGTGCAGTCCTACAATAGTGGCAATGAGCAAAGGTAAAAGCCAGGAATACAGCCCTCTCCATATAGTGATGAATTATTATGCAATCAGGACTGCATAACCCCTCCAAGCAAAGAATCTGGCTTCAACTTTCCCTGTTGTTCTTCCCTGCTCCCTGTTTTAGGACCAGTCCCAAAGACTGTTTTGATAGAGGAGAAACATTTAGTCAGTGCTCTAAGGACACTCGTTCTTATTGAAAGGTTGGTCTGAAAAACATGATAGCCAAAGTAGTAGGCAAGAAAAGATGGGAGATGATTTCAAATGCTCACTGTGATTACACAAAACCCATCAAGTTGGCATAAAATTACACAGGCTTATCACAAAAGCACAAAGTGAGGTCTTAAAGGAATCCATGCCTGGGCTTTAACTTCAACAAAACTTCTACTTCCAAGAATTGATCACACTTTTACTCACATGATTGCTTGCTTTCATGACTCACACAGTTTACATCTCATCCAGAAAGCCATATAGTAAAATGTACAGAGAAAGACCCTACATGTCCATTCCATTGCCAGAACATATGTAAAACCTGCAAAGCTGGGTTCTTGGCTCCAGTCTGTTCTTGGTTTGGTGTTGTTGCTCCTAGTGTAGCATACTCCTCTGTGTCCTGTACACATGGTTTTAATGCTGGTCTGCTCCCAGACATTTGTCACTAACTTCAAAAACCAGGGAGCCAAGGTCACTTCCGCACGATGTGCATTTCTCACCGTGGATTTGATCAACGTTTAATAAATATCAGATGGGACATGATGTGCCTCGTTTTGTTGGACACATGCTTTTTTCCATTCCCTTTCCCAACTTATTTTAATAAGAGCTCTGGTTTTTCTATCTCCCTGTTGGGAAGACATCTGGCCAAACAGACAGCGACCCAGTACAAAGAGATCCTGCTGGCTTACTTACTTTGGGGACTCCCTTCTCTGCAAACCAAGATGGTCACAAAAAAATATGCAAGTGAGACATCCCCCTGTTACCAGGCTTTGTAGTATTTGTTTTTATAGCATCGCATTCCAGCGGCTGAAGACTTTGTTCTTATGCAGGGGGTAGACATCTGCAGATGCCTTTTGTGCTCCAGATAAGCAGAGGTTTTGCTTTTTTTTTTTTTTTTTGTTCTGTGCTTTTTAATGGGAGACTAAGTATCTTTGCTCTTTGACACAAAGCAGCTACCTCACAAAATGCTTAACTTCTCAACTATATTGCATGTCAGGAGCATGTCTTTTAACACTTGAGGATGATATGCACACATATTTTCTTGCTGAATAATTCTTTTAGAAGTATTTTCCTCCGTGTCCTTTTCCTGGCTCTTGCTGCAGGATCTTAGGTGGCCCCACTATATTTCTGCTAGCACATCAATTTTGACCAAGATGCAAGGTTCCCTTTGTAACCCTGATAAAAATGGTGCTGATAAGACAACTGAAGAAGTGGAGTACAGGAAACAAAAATATGTACATTAGTTAGGAGGGGTTCTCCCCAGTGTGATTCAATGTGAAGAGATAACATCCCTTCCAGTTCGGAAGGAAGAAGACAAGTCTGGTTTGCATCCTTCAAGTGATAAATTTTTCCAGGATAATGTTTTTGAAACTGACGAGTAGCAGATCTAATAGCTATATTTAAGGGGCCTGAATAAACTACTGAGATCATACAACATGTAGGTAAGAATCAAATCCTGAGAGGTATTTAACCACAAAGTGGGTGCTGAGATCACCAGCAAAAGGAGGCAATCCCATGAGGAACCTATATCTGGATAAAGCCCATTAAAAAAAAAAAAAAACATCTGTAAGCACTGAAATGTACACATCCAACTGCAAAATGTATGTATGTATATTTATGTGTATATATATATATATAAAATTAGCATTATTAGGCATTAGGAAAGTAAACCTATCTTACAGGACCATGAGGATTTTCAAATTTGGGCATATATGAGTGAACACGTACACATACATATATACATGTGCTCATGTAAAAACAGAGATGTGTGCATAA